AAATGGACACTGCTGCTGTGTTTTATACAAAATATCTATTATTCACAATTTCTGGTCTGAGCAGTGAAGCAACAACATGGCTTGTGAAACAAAAAGAAAGCTTCAATGAATTAAAAACCAATTTTAATTCATTGACGTTATTTTGTCTTATGAAAAGACAGAAATTTTGTGTGGGAAAATATTTAAAGTTATTTTTAAGTTGATTTAGACTTTTCTTCCAAAAAGACTTACCGTTTATTTACTTATTTGTTTTACAAACAATAATCAATAGACATACATTCTTAAAATGCTTGTTAGATTATGAAAATATGTTGACTTTTTTAAAATATATTTGATGTCTTATTATATTACTAGCATTTAAAGATAACTGTGGATGCCATTCACTTATGTTTGTTTTATACTGACCTTTCCAAGCAAGAAATGTCAGTGGACCTTTCAGCTTTTTCTTGACTCGCCCTGATTGAAGATGTCTAAAATTGATATTTCAATTCCAGCCATAATTGTTAGTTTTGACGTATCATGAGTTCTTTGTGTCAAACCAGCATTATACTCTTATATTACATTACTAGTCAAGTCAAGTCAAAGTTTATTTATATAGCACTTTTTACAACAGGTGTTGTCACAAAGCAGCTTTATTACTATATTATTATATTACTATTGCATCATAGGGCAAACTTTGTTCTATATAAACAAATATTATTTCAGTCTTATTTAGTATAATGAGAGATATCTGAATGTTTTTTTTCCCAGAGAAAAAGCCATGCTAGGAAGTTCTTCCTCAGGATTAACCCCTTTTCTCAATCTCTGGACAGTGCTGGACCAAAAAAACCCAACAACAACAAGAAGAAACACAGCTGCTTTAAAACAGAGAAGTCTCAGTTTCCATGCTGAACTGGTACTGGGCATTCCAGTTTCTGTCCCAGGGAAAGCATTGTGCTACACTGAAAGAGGATGCAGGATAAGAGGATGCTGCTCTAGCATTTGACCTTTGTCTCACAGATCATATGGCCATAAACATCATCTGACCTTTATACATGCACAAGACCAATGGAAATGCATCTAAAATGGACAGTAGTACAAAACAAGCTGGTTAAGATGTGTGACACATTAACCCTTAGAAGGCTGGAGGTATTATTGTTATCAATGTACAAAGACACAAAGAATGTAAATGTATCCTCAAAGGCACAATATGGTTCTTATGATCCAATTGTGTACCGTTTTAAAGTTACACTACCCTCACTTTCCCAGGGGAAAGTGTATATTTGTACCTTTTCCCATGTTAACTTTTTAAAATATAGAACGAAAATAAAAAGCCTGGAGTCAAGACAGTGTGGAGTCAATGCAACTTAAAAAATAGGTTCCCAAACTAAAGGTACTAAATAGACGTACCCTTGAGGATACCACCGCAGCGACAAACCATGAAAAGTATACTTTTCTGAGAGTCATTGTTTCTGTGCTTCTGCTGTTTGAGACCCTAAAAGGGCAGTCTGGCCAGAATTAAAAATGTAACCATTGCTACATCGGCTGTAAACATGCCTACTGTCCTCCTACAGTGGTGCTGCTGTGGCCTCTAGAGTAAGATTTTTCGAGTTTATAGCTGCACTATGTAAGATTTATTTGTTAAAACCAAAAGAACCGAAAGAAATCTGCTAAAATATGTTGTTCTTAAGACCAGAATCAACACTGGCTTGGCTTTTCAGAGGTGGCGACAGCTCCGTGACCTGGAGGGACTCAGGAGTGATGCTGAATTGGCTTTTTTTTATTGCTGGACAGATGTTATATTGGTTGTTTGCTAGCTAACTACCGAAAATAGCCAGCCAGATTATTACTGATGTGGAATTTATTGTTACCCTTGTAATATAATGCAATGTACTTCTGTAATTGTGAAGTAGTTTTAGCTGTACAGCTAACGTTAACAGGCTAATTCACTAATATTAGCTGAATACTTTGCTAACAGTGTCTTTTTTGCCTCAGAGTTTGTCCTCTGTTGTTTGATAAACCAGGCTAGCCATTATTCTCAGCTACTGTCCAGTGCTACCGTCTGTCTCGTTTCATAAACACAACCAATATTAAAATATACTAGGCCAACACTGCCTAAATAGATATCTGATTGAGTAATGGCTCACATAACTAATGGGCACAGCAGTCGTACGAACAGTAATGTTAGTTAGCTATCAGTTATCCATGGTGAAGCAGGTAACATATCCATATTTTTCCCCTCAGTTATAAAAAAGAGCAGGCCAGGTTAATCTGCTTGGAGAAGGAGACCGCAGCACAACCCACGTTACAAAATGTTCTTCCGCACATGTCTCTGTAAGCAAGCACAATGAATAACTGCAAGTCTACACACACAAACACACACCCCTTTTCCAAATGTTGTCCTGACAAGCCCAGCCAACCACAAAGCCACAAACGAGTGGATTTTAGAGCCTACTTTCATTCTAATCTTCATCAACAGGCAATCAAAGACATACAGATACAGGCATGTTTTGGAAAAGCTTCGCTCTTGCATGAGGGTCCCAAACCTGAGGGCAGAATCCAGAGCAATGTGAAAATCAACTAAACATAGCGAAGATAATCCTTTGATTGGCAGCTGCTAGTCTGCCAACAGCCCCCAGCAGAGCACAGAGCCGTTACCTCTTCGTGCCTCTTTTCATTCCGTTTCTTCTTTCTGCTTAGAAAAAAAAAAACATCGTATATAACTTCCTTCTTGACTCTTTATCTATACTAATCTGTGTATCTAGAAGGGCTGCACACTAAATATTTTCCATTCAGCAGTGATTTTCAACAGATTTCGGCCTAAATCCAACCTACATGCAAAAATGATTAACCCCTTCCCCAAGGCTGCATCACAATTGGAAAAGATTATGTGGGAGCAGCATGGCAGCATCTCTGTTTAAGAATCTTTAACACACTTTCTTACTGTAGTAAAATTTATCCAGCACTTTTGTTTCAGCACAAGGCCTTTTGGAGAAAAAAAGCTGGGAGATGTTTTTGGCCCACATTTCTGCTGCTAATGTTAAGAAACAGATATGCTATGTGCTGCGACTGAGCAAATGTAAATAGGAAATATATGAACTGACTGTAAGCAAATCAAAAGAGCTGTGGTACCTTTAACTGTAGTAAATGTAAATAGTGGGTGATATATATATTGAGATAAATATGTCAACAGTGATACGTATATATACATATTACGTGTAAGGTTTTGTTCTGTCAACCTTACATAATGTGTGTAAATTTCATGATGAATGAACGAATAGAAATGACTCAAAATGACACGGGAAAAAGTCTGGTTCCATTGACTTACATTAAAAGTAAAGTAGGTTTTATCCTTCTCCTGTAAAGTTACCATTTTGGAGATACAAGGTTTTCTTCCGACAGCAGCGATATACATACATACATATATATAAATTGTCACAATACCGTACTTAAAGAACACTGACCAACTGCATGTTTCATTGTTTTGTTACAAAATAATCATATTTAGGCCTGTTTAATTGGAATAAGTGCAATGCAGTTTGTAAAAAATGAAATAAGTCATTGTAGTTGTAGGTTTTATTATTATTATCATTATTATTATTATTATCATTGTATTTCTTATATGTGGCAATACCGGTTCTATTTTGTCTGTTGCGATGTGATAAATTTCAGAAAAACTAAATATTGTATTGTATCATATCAGGCACTATATATATATATATCTCTCTCTCTCTCTCTATATATATATATAGAGAGAGAGAGAGAGAGAGAGGATAGATAGATAGATAGATAGATATTATGTTCTAACATTAAGTGTAAAAACAGTGTACTGGGTCACTATCATGAGGACAAATGAACACAGTCAAATTCTCATCATTAAGTTCAACAATGGCCTGTTGTTGCCGTTTAGCCTACTTTTACCCCCTAACCTAAAATAATGACTGGTTTTAAAACTACAGATTAAGGCTGAGACATGAAGAGGCAGCTTATGGTTTGTTCTGCATCAACTCAGGAGTACCATGAGGAAACCTGTGTGCAACGTCATGCTGACGTGGTGTGTGTGCTGAGCAGCGCGCCATAGAGTGAAATGTGCCAGAGGCCGTCGATAAGAGTCAGTTTACGTCCATGGGCTCTTTCCCGTTAACGTCCTGCGTTTACTCATAACAGAAACCAAAACAGCTAACAGAGAACCTAAACTACAGGCTCGTGTGAGAAAACGCTCGTGAAAAAAGGCCACGTTTCAAATGTAACGAATTACACGTTCTTCGTGTCCTAATATCTCGGTATTTCGTCGGTGTTTGTAGTGAAGGCTGCTGCCTTTTTTCTTCGGTGAGCGAACTTTTGAGAGGCTCCCTGGGGCCGACGTGCACGGTGGCATTCTGTCACTCCACTCCAGGACACGCCCCCCATCCGGCTCTTATTGGCTGAGAGGGCCAGTGAGTAGAAACACTCTGCCACCGAAGAGATCTCCTGCTTCAAGTGCGCTTTCAAGATAAATCGTCCCGAAAGAAATAAACGCGCATTAGACAACAAACTAAACGAAAACGAAGAAAATATAACTTCGAAACACTTTATTTATCACCGTAGATTTTTATTTTTAGCTAAGTTAACGTTAGTAAGTTCTGGGTTAGTGGAGCGGCTATTCACAACAAGCGGATCTCCCTGGCAGCCTTAGCCGCGGTTTACCTTCTCAAAGCTTTCTCAAAACAGGCGCTCTGGGAGCCACAAACACTGCCCCTCACACCCTCAGCCCCACAGAGCCGCTCACTCCGCCACAGTCTAAAGCAGCTAAAGCGCGTAACCAGATATTCAAAAACAATACGTCATCCCACAATGCAGCGCGCACCCGTCCACTCGCGGCATTACCTCATCCCGTGAGCCTCCGCGCGCGCAGAAAGAATCTTCTGGTGGTCGTCTAGGCAACGCGCCTTATCGGAGCGCCGAGGACCGCCCTCCGCTGCCGCATCCAGCCAATCGGAGGCCGTGGGCATGACATCACCATCAGGGCCCTATTTTTAGTGTGGCGGCAGCGGCTGATAAGGTTGGAGAGCACGGCGGAGGAGCTCATAGCACACACGGGAGAGAGACGGAGACACGGCGCCACGGAGAAGGTCTAAAAACACCAAAACAACACGAACACCGAGTCTGAGCGTCGACGCTTTCCGTGTCGCCCTCTGAACAGCCTGACAGCGGCAGAGGGTTTCGGCTTCGGTTTCGAGGCAGTTTCGACCGTCCCGGTAACTTTTCTGAAACTTTCTCTCTCGCGGGACAAGCAGTGAGCGGACGAGGCTGAACTTCTGAAAGTGACTGCTCGTCTTCGTGCGTTCTCCGAGAGACATTTCACGAAGATAAGTTGCTCTTTTTTGAACTTTCTGAGTCGGAAAGTCAGCTGAAAGAGGGACAGTTAGACTCGGGTGTGGTGTGATCGCCGCCGCTCGCCGCTGAGTGAGTGAAACGACCCGTCGGCTCGAAAAGTTTTGGTTTCTCCTTCTATGTCGACCAAGATGGAAACTACTTTCTACGACGACTCCCTGAGCGGCGCTTTCTCGCAGCCCGACGCCGCCGCTTTCGGATACAACCATAAAGCCCTGAAGCACAGCATGACGCTGAACCTCACGGACCCGGCCGGCACGCTCAAGCCGCACCTGCGGGCCAAGGCGAACGACATCCTCACGTCGCCGGACGTGGGCTTGCTCAAGCTGGCCTCTCCCGAGCTCGAGCGGCTCATCATCCAGTCCAGCAACGGCCTCATCACCACCACGCCCACGCCCACCCAGTTCCTGTACCCCAAGAACGTCACGGACGAGCAGGAGGGCTTCGCCGAGGGCTTCGTGCGGGCCCTGGCCGAGCTGCACCACCAGCACATGCCCGGAGCCCCCGCGCCCCCGCAGACCAACACCACGGTCAACAGCTCCATGGCGGCGCCGGCCTCGGTGGCATCGGTGGCCTACAGCACCGCCGCGCGCGCGGACCCGCCGGTCTACGCGGACCTCAACACGTTCAACCCAGTCAACAGCAGCAGCAGCGCGGGCTCGGGCTTCCCGGCCGTCAGCTACACCACCACGGCGCCTCCAACACTGGCGCCGCCGCCACAGCAGCAGCCGCAGCCACAGCCACTGCCTGTCCAGCACCCGCGGCTGCAGGCGCTGAAGGAGGAGCCGCAGACAGTGCCCGAGATGCCCGGCGAGACCCCGCCGCTGTCGCCCATCGACATGGAGAGCCAGGAGCGCATCAAGGCCGAGCGCAAGCGCATGCGTAACCGCATCGCCGCGTCCAAGTGCCGCAAGAGGAAGCTGGAGCGCATCTCGCGCCTGGAGGAGAAGGTGAAGACGCTCAAGTCGCAGAACTCGGAGCTCGCGTCCACGGCCAACATGTTGCGCGAGCAGGTGGCCCAGCTCAAGCAGAAAGTCATGAACCACGTGAACAGCGGCTGCCAGCTGATGTTGACGCAGCAGCTGCAGACCTTCTGAAGCGGCTGCGCGAGGGCGCCGAGGGAAGGAGGGACAAACGGGCTGAAAGGACACGCTTGTGTAAAAGGGGCTGAGCACCGGAGCCTGTGGCGACAGAGGCCGGTGAAGCCGTAAAAGTCCACCGGGACTGTCCCGGGACACTGTGTGGCCGCGTGCCGTGCAAAGGACGTCCAGATATGGAGTTTACCGAGCTCCACAGACCTGGGCCCACAGCACCAGACAGCATGAAAGACTCACTTCTGTTACCTTTGACTTTTATTTCCTTTTTCATTTCTTTTTCTAATGACGAAAGAGACTCATCCTTGTTCACTTTGACCAAGTCGTGCATGGACCTAAGCCTACAGGAGCACTCAGTATTAGAAAAAGAGAACTGCGCTAGAACTTTGGCGGCCCGCGTTGGCGCGCCACAGCAGGAAGTTGCGTCCCATAAAGTCTAAAAAGAGAAAAAAAAACACTTTTGATAAAAGCTGCCTGACTTCTGAGTTGCAATGTCCGTTTTGTTCTTTTGAATCGAATCGACGTTATTTGAGTTAGTCAAGCTTTCAACGGTTTCTTTTTCTAAAAAGTTTCTTAATGAGGTTTCACTCATTGTTATTTGTAAATAAGATCAACAGGGAGTACTTAAGTTTACCATTTGTAATAAAAGTGCTACGTAATTTTTTTATGTTTGTTTTCTGAGCTGATCAGAAACTAATCAATATTTATGAACTGTAATAAAGTATGTCAAACGAAAACAGTGTGTCTGTTGTGTCTGTGGAGCTGCGAGGACTAACATGTTCAAACTTGTTTTCAGAGCCACTGTTGACTAACACTGCATTTCACACAGAGCTTTGGGTGATCAGGTTTGTCAAGCTCTTCTCCAACAACCAAAGGTACATAACTCTCACAAGAGACTCTGGTTTATAACTGATACCAACATACAAAAGTTACATTACAACACAATTATAATTGATGTTCATATAGCAAATTTCCCAACAAAGTGTTTAACAATTTCCAATTTTTACAAGCAATGCAACAATAAGACTATATGTATACATAATAAATACAAGAACTTTACACCACCATGGCACCTGCAGCTTTCAGTACTGCTTATTTACTCAAACCAGGCTTTTGCTTGTAGCTACAGATTCATGATATAGTGTTAGGCTTGATAAACACTGTAGGCTACAATTTAGTATTTTTACCACTTAACAACTGTCCATTGGCTGACAGTACCTACAAAACAGTAAGTCTTTAGAAACCCATTAAATGATGCATCATCACAGTTTAAGCCTGATAATCAGAAGTGTTCACGTTTGAACTTGGCCAGTAGCCACAAATGGCAGCTCGTAAGCTAAATAAATAAGATAAAAAGAAAAATACTTGGCCAGTAGCCATGAATGGCAGCTAGTCTGCTAAATAAATAAAATAAGAAAATATTTTTTTAAAAAAGAAAAATACTTGGCCAGTAGCCACGAATGGCAGCTCCTAAATCAATGAAATTAAAATAAAATACAAATTCAAATAAAATAAAATGAAAAAAATACCTGACCAGTAGTCAGGAATGGCAGCACGCTAAATAAATACGTTAAATTAAAAAATGAAAAGAGAAACACGTTAACTTCACAGCATCGTACTACACAGTAATGATCAGTCCTTGACAATCATTTATTTCAAAATCTAATTTTTTGATCACATTAGACAAAAGTCTACACACTATAATTATAACTGATCACATTTCGGCAGTGAAAATAATATTGATTTTACCGCTCCAAACTGTAAAACGTGTCTTGGACACAGGCCCTTCAGAAGAACAGCAGCTCCACACAAGCTGGTTTCTAAAACGGTCATTTTCATCAAGAACGCCACTAGAGGGCGCCACTGCCCTTTGGTAAGTCCCGGAGTCTGCGGGCGGGTTTGGTGCTGGAGTAAATCCTGTCCTGACAGTTTAGTCAGCCTGGCTCCAGTAGAGCCGATGGGCTTAATCAGGTGTGTTGGAGCGCCGCTTACTGGCCTGTTAAACACCGTCCTGAACATTACTCACTTCAGACCGGACAGCTGGGCTGCCGTTCAACGGGAACTGCCCGACTGTTTGCGCGCGTGACAAAACTCAGCTCACTTCGAGCTGCTGTGACCAAACAGCCTTTTAGGCAGCACGCGCGCTCATCAGTAGAACTCGTACACAATTTTAAAACAGACCTTAATAAATTATGGTCATAAACTGTCTATAAACAGTCTAATAAACATGTCCAGAGATTGTTATAGAGGCATTAGTTACTAAGATCGGTTTAAAAAGTCATTGTGTATATTAAACTAGAAGACTAAAACATCCAGCCAATAGAGGCCCTGCGATCAGAAACTGACTGCTGAAGGGCTAAGAACTGATAAAGTCAATCACACTGACAAGACTAGGAAAGGAAAGAGTAGACAGTGAAGCTTCAATCAGTCTATTTGAATAAATCAGACATTGATACAGGCCATATTTCAGTTTGTTGTACGATGTATTATTTTCCTTTGCTGAGGCCTTTAAATGGTATTTAAAAGCACTGTTTTGGACATTAAACATTAAATAACAGCTATGGCAGCAATTCCAGTGGTTCGTACAACATCAGGTTCTTTGAGTCACTGAATATCCAAGTTTGCATAAAAAAATATGCACCTTTAAGATCACATTGGGATTTTTGGAGCTGTTTCTAGCCATCAAATTAACTGAATTAGCTCCCATATTGTATTCAGGACAACAATGTTGGTTTAATACATATCATACAACATTTATGGCGCTTTGCTGTCCAAACTTGGCAAAGGGTGACATCATGCCGGAAAAGCGGGATCTACATGACCATGTAAGGTAACACAACCCTCGGAAGATCTACGTCACCGGCCACGGAGTGGGCGTGGCTTACGGGAAGTGGAAGTCCTCGGCCTGATCCTCCTGTTCAGAGTGAAGCGGCGTTCCCGAGTGTCCGGGGACTAAAGACGCGGATAAAGCTTCTCTCAGCAGAAGAAATACAGCTAGAACATGGGTTCTGTTTTACCTCAGCAACTTTGCGGAACTGTCGCTGCGATATTTTGGCATGCAGTCTTTAAAAAAGGCTAAATCTACCTGCTATACGTAGTGAAAGCGTATACAAACTCACCGACACATTCCAGTGCACAGCAAGAACACATGATTTGAATACAATAGGCCATTGTTTGTATAGGAAAAGAGTAAAAGAAATACCAGGCTAATTCTAATATTTTAAAAGTACAAATTTCATGGATACGAAAAGAAATCTTTCAGAAAATTGTATTTGGTGAATGTGCCTTTATTTAAATAAAGTAAGATACTATTTGTCTGTTAAGCTCAATTCATTTGCTAGACTGAAATGCTGCTGTAATGAATGGAAAGAAGATATATGGTCTGACTTATGCATGAACACAAACACAAATGCTTGTCATGGTTACAGTAGTCATGTAGCAGATTACTTGGCACTAGACACTTTAAATAAGGAAAGTGATCTGAGCATTGAATAGCAAGAAAATAAAACTATTTTTCCATAAATATCACAAAATCCCATGCAAACATTTTGTAAAATGATGCAATGATTTTTCGAACCAATACGTTACACTATCTAAAACACATGTAAACAGCAACCTGGCATTTCCTCCTTATCTGGTTGCTAAGAGATATTTGAACAATTGGTTATAAATAAGAAGCCATTTTAAGCAGCTCTTAGCTACTAATGTTCAGAGCTCTCCACACGTTTTCAGCTAACTGCTGCATTTCCTGTGGATTTGACCAATTTTAAGAGTAAGGAGGATGGGTTCAACCAAGTTCACCAATCCTTACGCTATTGAAGTGATCCAGACCAAGAAGAAAGAGCTAGTTGGTGGCATCTCCAACACTGAGGACTTACTGGACCTTCTTGTCGCAAATGGAGTCCTTCTACCTGAGAGCAGAGTTCTTGTGTCCAGCATCACAGCACAAGACGAGAAGAACTCCAGAATGCTTAGCATCCTGATATCGCGAGGAGAACGGGCATGCCGAATCTTCTTCTACCCATGCCTGAAGAGTGCTGAACCTGACCTGTACCAGACCATGAAAACCTATGTAGGAGGGCTGAACCAAAACATTAAGGACACACGAAGGCAGCTGATTGGGTATCTTCTAGAGAAAGATGGCCAGGGGAAAATGAAAAACATACAGGGTAAGAACACAGACCCTTTCAATGAGACAGTAAGGAATAAATCAAAAACGTATGAGGTGCCAACCTTGTTAGAAGGATTACAGAAATACTCTATGAAACCAGAGGACACATCAAATGCCATTCTCAAAGCAGTGTCTACAGGTGACGTATCCCTGTTACGGGAACTTCTAAAAGGCACGAATATCAACAACAGAAGTTCCTCTGACAGCCTCCTACACACTGCTGCACAACATGGTCAAGTGGCAGTTATAAACTTTTTGCTCCGTCACGGAGCCAAACTAGATCAGAGAGACCACCAAGGTCGCACTGCCCTACACAGGGCTGCAGAGGCTGGCCACACAGCTGCTGCAGTGGCCCTTGTTAGAGCTGGAGCAGACATTCATGCCAAAGACAAGACCTCCAAAACTCCCCAACATCTAGCAGCACAAAATGGTCATGAGGACACTGTCAGAGCCCTGGTGGAGGAGGAAGCAAGAAGCTTCAAGAACCAGACTACATTCCTGCACATGGCTGCAGTGGAGGATGATTTGGAACTGGCAGGCATTTTGCTGCGGAATGGAGCATCAGTAGACGTCCAAGACAGCCAGAGGAAAACGCCATTGTTTCATGCCATTAGCCGTGGAAATGAGAACACAGCTTCTGTGCTGCTTCAGGCAGGTGCCCAGGTGAATTCTGGAATCATGGAGGCAGCGTTTGACCTAAACAGGAAGTCTGTGCTGTCTCTGCTTCTGAGGAACATCAAGGACACAATGTCTCAAAATGAGATAAAATCTGTTCTGTTTAAAGCAGTAAAGAGAAACCTGGATGGGGTCGTGGCTGCCCTCATCGACAGTGGAGCAGATGTTAATGCGTGCGATGACCTGGGCTACACGCCACTACTCCTAGCCACAGAGTTGAGGAACGTGGAAGTCTTTAAAGTGCTGGTCTCCAAGAAAGCCCAGTTTGATAAGAGGCTACCTAACCAGACCTCTGCTCTTCATCTGGCCATTCAGAGTGGCAGTATGCCAATAACTCAGGTGCACAGACGATTTCAATATTACATTTATATATAAGCTCATTTATACTGAAAAGAAATGCATAATGTGTTTATACTGATAAAAAATCTTTAAATCTTTAGCAAACACCAGCATACTTTTGTATATAAAATGACAGTTAAAGCCCTTAAATGTAGTTATTTGCATTCTTTCAAGCACATCCATTTAGGCCTAAATTAGCTATATCTACTGGATAAAGAACATGCTTTATATATGTCTATGTAAGTGACACCTATGTGAGCTTTATAATAACCATGAACATGTCCCTCATATAGAAATTATGCTTTACAGTGTAAAACATTCATTAACATGCCACCACTGGTGCTTCTAAATTTTTTTTTTGCCTAGATATTACTGGATAAGGGCATGGACCCCAACAGCATCGGCCCCAAAGACCAAACGCCTTTGCATTTTAGTGCCCTGCACAACCAGCCTACTCTAATGGCCTTGCTGCTTCGCAAAGGGGCTCAGGTCAACGCTGTCACCCAGGATGGCCTGACCGCTCTCCATCTTGCTAGCCAGAGTGGACATACAGAGGCAGTGGCCCAGCTGTTGGAGGGAAAAGCAGACGTCCATACTCAGGACAAACAGGGCAGAACAGCTCTACACTGGGCAGCAATCACGGTGATGCCAACATCATAAAGCTCCTCCTCTTTGCTGGAGCTGATACTAACCCTGCTGAGAAGGAGAGGAAGACTCCGTTACACCTGGCAACGATGGCAGGGCACACCGACGCTGTCTCAACCTTGTTGGCTGGGAAAGCTAAATGTGGAGCTAAAGACATGGATGGCTGTTCAGCTCTGCACTATGCTGCCCGAAATGGTCATAAGAGCGTGGCTGCTGCTCTCCTAGCCTCTGGGAGGAATAAAAACGTGGATGACAGGAATGTATGGAGGAGGACACCTCTACATTTGGCTGCAGAGCACGGGCAGGAGCTCCTGGTGGATCTGCTGCTAGAGAAACAAGCCAAGATCAATGCCATCGACAACAATAAAGACACACCACTGCATTCGGCCTGTCGCGCAGGGCATCTAGGCACAGTGCAGAGATTGGTAAACTGGACACAGGGCCAGAAGGCAAACCTACAGGCTACTAACAATGTGAAGAAAACAGCCCTGCAGGTGGCGGAGGCTGAGGACACTCTGAACCATCAGAGCATTGCTACACTGCTGAAGAAGAAGATGTTTCTCATCAAATGAAAAAAAGGGATGATTACAACTCTATAGCCGGAGCATATCTTGCATATTTTAAGGCAACTGGAGTGTGGGCTGTGTTGACCGAAAACATGTATTATTTTGTTTTAAAATATATTGAAATAATATACATTTAGATCATAAATGTGCCAGTTTTGATTAATATGTATAACATGGATAATGAAAAGTACAATATACTCCACCTTTAAATAAAAGCTACACTGACACAATCTTGTCACTAGGTGTCACACAAATACCATGTTTCTTGAATAGTACAGCTGAACTAAACCAAAAGAAGTAAAATCAAAATCGAAAAAAAAACATAATTAACAAAATTAGTGAGGTGGATTACAGCTACAATATTGATTACTGAGACAGACTTAAGCTGCAGTATTGATTACTGGTGGTGAACAACAGGGTTAAACGCATAAAATTAACTTTGGTAAACATTCTCACTGCATAAAGCACTCCCACTAAGTTTTCCCATGAAGAGGCTCTGGTCAGACCGAGACAGATGCAGAGGTAAAAGCTGGAAATAACCTACGTCTGTAGACTGCTGTCAGTTAACATTCATCCTACTGATTGCACAAGACGTTTTCAGGTATTAAAAGGAAATTCCACTTATTTTTAAACATTTCTACCTACTTTAATTGTTGAGATGTAAACAAAGTAATTCAGAGTGGTTCAGTGTGAAACTGTGTATTGCAAAGAAAGTCACCGATTCAGATTTCTTCACAGTGATGGTAACAGGTACCAGGGTTTGCCATGTCTACAGTGCAAACACAGTCATTTTATTTACCACCCAAACAACCAGTGAATCAGCACGTACCTTCTGAGTTTTGGTTATGTTGATAATAGTGAAATAGTGGCAAATCTTGAAAAAAATCAATCAACTTTGACTTATGGCACCCTGCATGTACCCCTCCACCATGAATTTTTTCTTTTAAAGGCCAAAACCCTCTCTCAGAATGATGCCAACGTTTGAGGCATCAGACAGCGTATTTTTAACCATTTTATGTAATAACTCACTGTGAATTTTGCTGAAACTCTTCAGATGTCTGGTTTCTACCAACCATGAGGTGAATAAATCTGACTCGGAAAGTTTTCCTAGAATGAAGCATTTCACATCAAACCACTCTGAATGGCTTTGTTTACATCTTAAGCATTTAATCATGCAGCAATGCTGAGAAAACAGTCAATTTAACCTTCAAGCCACTGTTTCTTAACCCTGGTCTTAGGCCCACTGCCCTGTACTTTTTAGTGTTTTCTGCCCCCAACACATCTGATCCAACTAATCAGCTCAGTAACAGTCCGTTCTTGAGTTAAAGTGCATGTGTTGAGGCAGGAAAAGCTCTGTAATGTGCAGGACAGTGGGCCTCCAGGACCAGGGCTGAGAAACACTGCTCTAAACAGACCAGGCAGAGTCCGCGTCACGTGACTCGCTCCTAAAGTTCAGAGGGCCGCATCACGTGACTCACTGTTGTCCTAGCGTGTCCTGAAATGGCAAGAAATGAGGAGAAACAGCTTGGAAAATTAAATCGATTATGGCTTCAGAAAGAAAGAGAGGGTACGTTTTGTTCAATGATTAAGTCTCATCTCTTCTTTCCTCGGAAATGCATGTTTGTACAGTGGTTTCTTTCGAGTTAGCTAGCAACCTGACATTAGCCTGCATGTTACAACAGCACTCGAGTCCTGAGTGTGGGGGTCACTGGGGGGAGAACTGCTCAACAAGTTTGCTTTGTCTGTTTTTAATTTCTAGAAGGTCGCATTAAAGATGTTACCGAGCCAAGACCAAAACTCGTGAGTAATTCATTTAATAACACTTTGCTAGCTGTTCTCGTGCAGAGAGCCGGCTAGCCGCTTAGCATCGCACCATGTAGTAGAACCACAGTGGATGGTTCGGTTATTAACGTGAATTAACGTTATATCGCGTGCTTTCTTGTAGGCGACGTTGAATTCTGTCGCAGCCGTGAAGAAATGGATACCAAGCATCAAGAATGAGATCGAGTACTACCTGCAGGTATCACAACAACCGCTTTCCTGTGTTCCTCTGCAGCGCACATAGATGGTTTATGCCATCTACCGGTGCGCGCTTATTACCATGCGGTGTCTGGTGTACACAGAGAATTAGGTCAGATTTTTGCTGGGGTGAGCAGCACTCGGTGACTAAAAGGGCAAATCTAGCTACGAAGTAAATACCGTTGCCATCACTGAAAGACTTATGCTAACCATACACTAGAACTTTGAAAAGACTTTTGAAAGACTAAAGTCTGACACCCTGTCACATCTAAAGACAGTGTCGCGTTTTTTAGTCAGAGACTATGATTTTGCAAAGACTAGGAATCTTGCAGTGTCACTATTTACAAGACTGCAGCTACATTTTTGAGATTATTCCTCATCATGCGCCCGGTGGAAATTTACAAGCAGATAAACACTTTTTCCTTCCACTCTATAGTGGTACAGATGGGAAGATACGCTGGCTGGGCAGGTAAAGATCTGGGGCTCAGATTAGTTCACTGTAGAACTGTGTACTCTGGCAGATCATCATAAGAATCTTTTAATTAACCTGTAAATTGTGCAGTTACTTTTTTAATTTGGTGTAAAGATTTACACATCAACACAACATGCAGCGACTCAGCATTGTCGACTGGGTGTCATGAACTAAACCATAAGAAACAAACAAACAAAATAAGAAACCAGTGTAACAGAAAAAAAATAGAAAACAGTTGATGATTCTTCAGTAATGGCATTCTTAAAGTCCTCTGCACATTTCCTTACGTGTTACAGGCTCAGTGAACCTGAAACATCAAAACAGTCACTTTATATTTTAAGTTAATGATTATTTGAGTCAGTGACGCCTGCATATTCTCTCTCTCTCTCTCGCTCTCGCTCTGCGCTAGCCCTGGCACGTCACTCTTTACATGAGCCTTGACTTCAAACTTACGATGAGCCTTGACTTCAAACTAACAAGACTCTCGTGATTTTATTCCGACATGGATGTTTGTCTGCGACAGTGAAATCGCTTGAAAAGTCGTTTGGTGTAAGGCCGGCATTAGATGAATAGATAGAGATACTTTATTGATCCCAGAAGGAAATTTAGCAGCCAGTAGCAGTCACACAACACTGGAATAAAATATCTAGGTGTGGAGTGTCCAGATGTGCAAGATGTGCGGTAGGGGTTACAGAAAGTGCAATACGTTCAGTAAGGTGTCCACATGTGTAGATGGATAGAATAAACGTATGATTTAGCCTGAGATTCAGATTCAGTCCTCATCTCTCCTCTTCCGTCTTAATTAATAACTCTTAATTAACGCTCTTAATTAATAACTTAATTGTATGTTACAACAACAAACCTGTTTCTTAGGTTATCATATCAGTAGAAATGTGTTTTGACATGTAAATAAACATTAATCACCATTTTTATGGCGTTAGAAAAGCGTAACGAACTGTAACGCTGCGGTAGACGGACGACGGCAAACCCGATGTTCCATTATTTTGACTGAAGCCGCGATGGAAATTCTGCCACCGCAACCGGCGTGAAGCCCACGATAACGCATCCCCGTCCGGATTGCCCTTCCCAGCGACCCCCGGGCTGAGTTAGCAAGTTAGCGTTTACATGACCATCAAAGCTGAAAGTCAAATGTGAATATTGTTGATTTAACTCAGTTGTGTGCTAGTTTAGATTACTCTTCACGATTATTTAGACCAGATACATACATGCCTAACTACGGAGCCCTGATGATGACATCCTGTATAAATAAAAATAATGTATGGCCACGAATTAGGATCACATTCCCACGCTTTACTAAGTTGTGGCCACGACTTGATAATTTCATTCCCACACCTTACTAAGTCGTGGCCACGCCTTATTTTTATTTATACAGGATGTCACCAGCTGGGCTCCATACCTTACTGGGCCTTTTGAGGTTCCTCTCAGTGTTGTTGACTGATGGCTCTGATATGTATTATTATCTTATAACGTGGCAAAAATCTTGACAGGAAACCAAAGAGAAGTAAGATAAGGACGGGGAAGTAGGCAAGGCAAGTTTATTTATATTTATCTTTCATACCCTGTGGTTATTCAAAGTGCTTAACAAGTGAGAAAATACAAAGATGATTCAGATAAAATTGTAAAAAGATGTATTATTAGACTCCAACAGTTTGTCCTATCCATCGAGTGGTCCTACTGAGTATACGCACATCATTACTATAGTGTAGTAACTTAATGTTTCAAACTTTTTTTTTTAAAATGTTAGTTCAGTACAGACTCAGCTTAATATTATTACTAACTCCCTGATAAGGTGATTTACGCAATCAAAATATCCTGATTATTCTTTTAATGCTGGTAACGTTTTCTGATAAGGAGAGTCAGGCTATCAAATTAACCTACCTATAGATTTCAGTGCTGGCAGTATTTTCTGATTTGCTGGGTAATTTAGGCCATCAAAATATCCTACCTACAGTTTTATGTAGAGCACTACCTAAAATATGTGGTGTGGTAGGACATTTCAAGAAAGTAGCACAATGCATCAGAACACCGGCAGCGCTCCACAGACCGCAGCGCTGAGCGGAACGCTCCGTCAAGAGTTCAGTTTTCCCAACTTCTCCTATCAGTGGAATAAACCGGATGTTGATTTTTTGGGAGCCGTGAATGCCAAGCTTCTCGTTGTTGAATTCCAGAGGAAACCAGTATTATGCAGCAAAAAATGAAAGAGCGTCCTCCTGCTTTCCCCACCTTAATTAAACAATACACACTGCTAAAAATACAGTATCTGAAAACTTCTGAAATGAAAAGAACAGTTGAGCAGTAAGTTCATTTAGAAAGCTGTGACCTTAAATAATCTAGACCAGGATTTCTCACTCTTTTCCACCCCAAGGTCCACCTGTTTATAATTATAAATCAATGCAACCCACAGAATAACAAACCATTAAAAAATTGCTAATATATATTATAAAAATATTAATATTTTTAAAATATTATTTTCTTAATTGTTTATACTGAAAACCTCTGAATTAGGGCCTGAAACAGATCAGATCGTCCATTTCACTTCAATCACAGAAACCAAAATTTGCAGTTATGTTAAAAAAAACAAAAACAAAAACAAAATGTTTGCAGAGATGTGAAAAAAGGGAGAAAAAGAAAAACAAAGGTAAATGTGGACTGTAATTTGGAGCTGCAGTCCATTGCGTTTTCACTGAAAATACTCAGGAGTGACTGGTCGCTTTAGTTTTGAGGGTTTAGCACCTCATTTGAAATAAATCTCAATATAAAATAATAAATAAATAATAATGATAAACTTGACGTTGTCTTCTTTGTCATTAGTTTATCAATTTGAGATTAACTACTCATACGTCATAGATGCTCGGCCAGAAATCAAACGCAGATCTTTTATTAGAGCTATTATTTTGAGGCTCGTCTGTCGTTTTTATCAGCTGCAGCTCCAGCTGCAGGAACAAAATGAGAGTCTGTAAAGAGTGAGATGTTAAAACAGGCAGATTAAGCTGATGGTACAGTGCTGATGTGCTGCTGGAAGAAGAAAGTAGGCTCTATTGATGAATCCCCTCGTTTGATCATAAAATGCATCCCACCAGCAGTGAACTGAACAGGGTTTGGTTGAAAGTAGGCTGAGACTAGCGGGTTTTTGCCAGACTGGTTTAGCTGATGCAGACCTGAATACGGGTGAAATGTTCACACACGTCAAAATGGAGTGAGCTAAAGAAAAAGGTTTGATAGGTCTGCACCGAACAAGGTAGGAGAAGGCGCCCTGAGAAACCTCTTCAGCTCTGACTAACTGTGCTGCATGCAGCTGTGTTGTCTCAAACCAATGATGTTTAATTAGTCTGCAACTGCGATGTTCTTATTCGTTAATATTTGTATAATATGGAAATGTCTGATTCTTTGGTTTTGCATTATTAAGCCTAAGTTAATCTTTTTCCACTTCCGTTTTTATGACTTAAAGTGCCGTTATCGGCCCACTACAAACTACTGCCTCCCCGAGTACAGGCCCGCGGACCACTAGAGGGTGCTTCATGGCCCACTGGTGGTCCGTGGCCCACAGGTTGAGAAACCCATATCTAGACTTCTGACACCGTTTCTCTCCTCCTCCACCTTACTGTCTTATACCTATAGCAGTCCCAGCTATCCCACTACCCGGAGAGGAAGATAGCAGAGTTCCAGCAGCAAATTGAGCAGCTGGAAAAAGAATACAAGCGATACCTCAACAAACTGCGCTCCCTGGACCCCACCTGCAAACATAAGCCTTGGACTCCTAGAGCATACTCCAAGAGGAGGCAAGACTCTGACAGCGGTCAATGCACTGGTTAGTCCTTCAAATATGTAGCCGAGCATATCTCGCTTAGGGTGACAAATTGAAGGAAAAACCTGAAAAGCCTAATGAGTGCATATGCTTCCAGACAGGTGTACTGCATGATACAGTTAAACAGTTAACAGCCTATCCTGCTTTGTGGCATATACAATAATTCTGAGCAATTTAGTTACAGAGGAGACGATCTCAGTGACTTTAAAAGAGCGTTCAGTATCGGGGCACTGATGGCAGAGCAGCTACTTCCTTAGGTGACCGAAAAAGTTAATGCAGAACATGATCAAGCTGTGTCAGCAAGAATAGTCTGTCCACAATTACATATTGAAGAATGTTATAGTGTTGCAGTACATAAACCACTCGTTACAAAGACAAACGCACATCTGAGAGTTCAGCAGTGCAAAAATTACAGGCACTGGTTTACAGCGATGTGGAAAAAAAGTGATGTGGTCAGATGAGTCATCCTTCATCATATTCCTGATAAGTGGGCGAGTGCATGTAAGTGTGGTGTACACCAAGAGAATTACACAGGCCGCTTGATGCCTGCAGTGAGGTGGTCTGGTTGCTCTGTGAGGGGTGTTTTGCTGGCATGGTTTTGATCCTTATCTACAGTGTCTGAGAGGACCAAACAGACTGCAAATAAAAAATGGGCTGCAAACGTGGAAAACACTCATCAAAACGACAGCATAAGCTATGCATTTTACAAATGCTCTGCAAAATAATAAACCACTCTGCAAATTCAGAAAACGCTCATCAAAATGATGGCATTAATGCTACGTTACACAGTCATGCTGCAAATGCAGAAAACCTTTAAATTCTATGCAGCATAAACATTCAGATGAGGAAACGTAATGAATCAGCAAAGGTGCTGATCAAACTGGGACACAAATGCAGCATAAACATTCATCAGTAAAAGTACGTTAACTTTTATTTGAGCACATAACTAACATTACTGTATTGTGATGGGAATTAGCTGTGCTGTAATATTCAAATAGCAATACCAGGTATAACTGATAACTACCGCAGTACAGCTGAGACATATCAGATAGCAAACTAGTCAGTCAAGTTAACCATGAACGTATTGTGATGTGAGTCTCTGTGTTACCAACTTTTCGCAGCAGCTTTCCATTACTGATATCCCCTTCGAGAGTCTTCCATAAACATTTCCGTTGTGTTGTCTCACCTCTGTTGCATGTATTTTCTGTACTTGCAGCGTGTTTGTGAAATGTAGTTCAGGTGTAGTCATGTTGAAAGTGTTTTGTGAATTAGCATCGCACTAACGAGTGTACAAAGCGTGTTTAATTGTACTGTGCGTAGGGCCTTGTCAGCTACCGTACTTCTCCTTTTAAAAGTCAAAGTTAAAAAAAGAAAAATTATTCTGACTGATCACCTTTATTATGAAATATATTTCTCCTGATGGGAATATTCACTTCCAGGATGACTTCTTTTTTGGTCCTCATCCACAGGTCACAAGGGGTTACTCGATGGGTTGATGAGTGTAGAAATTATAATAATAATAATAATAATAATAATAATTTTATTTATATAGCACTTTTCATGCTAGTGGCAGCTCAAAGTGCTTTACAGACAGATGATAAAACATAGTTATAGAAAAGATCATTAGTACTTAATTAGAATCAGAAAAAAATGAAGAAGATTAAATTACAAGATAAACACCACAAGACATTCAGTTTTAGTTGAATGATAATTTAAAGAGATACGTTTTTAGGTGCTTCTTAAAAGTGAGCACTGAGCTTGACTGTCTAATAAAAGGTGGAATTGAGTTCCACAGTTTAGAAGCATAATAACTGAAAGAGGCCTCTCCATGTTTTCTGTATTTTACAGAGGGTATCTGTAGAAGGCCACCATCTGCAGATCTTAGATTACGTGCCGGAACATAAACAGACAGACACTCTGTGATGTAAGCAGGTGATGGGTTGTTTTGAGCTTTAAAGACTAGTAGCAGAACCTTGAAATCTATCCTGAATGATACAGGCAGCCAGTGCAGTTCTTTCAAAACGGGAGTGATGTGATCTCTCCTTTTTGTTTTTGTTAGGATGCTGCTGCATTTTGTACGAGTTGTAAGGGATGTAGTTTTCTTAGGAAGTCCAGCAAGAAGAGCATTACAGTAGTCAAGTCTGCTTGTAACAAATGCATGAACAAGTTTCTCTACGTCGCTCTGAGATAGAAAACACAGAACCTTAGCGATATTTCTTAAATGATAAAAAGCTACTTTAGTGACCGTGTTTACATGTGGGGTAAAACAGAGCTCAGAGTCTAAGATCACACCCAGCTTTCGTACTTCAGGTTTGGTAGATGAAGCTAAAGAACCAAGTTTCTCAATTATCGTTTTTCTCTGAGTTTCTGTACCAACAATCAGTAATTCAGTTTTTTCATGATTTAATTGTAGAAAATTTTGCGACATCCACTGAGAAATCTGACACACAGCTGGTTAGTCTGTCTACGGAGTCTTGATCTTCAGAAGGAATAGAAATGTATAGCTGGGTGTCGTCAGCATAGCTATGAAACTTTATACTATGTTTCCTAATAACATCACCTAGAGGTAGCATGTACAAAGAAAAAAGCAAAGGCCCTAAAACTGAACCTTGGGGGACTCCACAAGAAACGGCATATCATTTTGATGAATGATTTACAAGTGAAACCATGAACTGCCTATTACTTAAATATGATTTAAACCATTCTAAAACTGCCTGAGAGGCCAACACAGTGTTCAAGACGCTGGAGTAAAATCTTGTGGTCAATGGTATCAAAGGCTGCAATGTAAATCATATGCAGCAGGCTTTGCAGTCTCCAAATTTAAACCCAATTGAACACCTGTTGGATATTTTGGACTGATGATCATCAAAACACTAATTGAAGGAATATCTTTTGGAAGAATAGTGTTCCGTCCCTTCAGTACGGTTCCAGAGACTAGTAGGATATAAGCCAACATGCACTTTTGTGGTGGTCCAGCACTTTACTAAGCCACTTTGTTTTCCTTCTCCAGTTTGTCACCAATTTGTTTGATGTGCTAAACTAAAGGTCTTCAACTTGCGACGTGGATTTTGTAATCATTGCTCGGTATGAACAGTTACATCATCAGTTCAGTTAACTACCAGTAATTTCAAAATCCAGAACCATAAACTCAAGATGGCAAGTTGAAGGCCTCTTCTCTAAACAATGCACAATGTAAGTTCTCAATCTTTTTTCACAGTCAAAAGGCTCTGCGCCCCTGATCCCTGTAGTCAAGCCAGTCCAGCAGAAGCAGCTACAACATCTACCCTATATAAGCAGGATCTGCTTAACCAGTCAACCCCCGGTGCTACCTCACCTTCAGATCTTCCAGACCAGGATCTCCCACTATCCTTTGACCGCACTAGGCTGGCAGTAGCAGTGGCTGGATCTTGGAGGACTCCATCAGGACAGCTGCAGGATATGAATACACTGGCTTCTGTGCTGCGCAGTGGCCTACCCAACCTGCACAGCTCCATAGCACCAGCTGGAGGACTTCAGGAGAGCCTGGAGACAAAACACCCCCCCTGTACTGAAATAACACAGAATAAGACAGAACACGTGTTGGGATTGGGGTGCTACTCATCTTCAGATGAGGAAACGTAATGAATCAGCAAAGGTGCTGATGAAACTGGGACACAAATGAGACCAGTGAGGCTTTTTTAGGAATCTCACTGGTTTGTACAAATGGATATTTAAGTTTACTGTATGTTTTTTTTCTGTGTTGGACTTTATGTAATAAACTGATTTTCTCTGAGTGGCTTTATGGTCTTCACAATTAATATCAGAAAAACAACAAAAACTAGCATTTTTGAAAAATTATTCTTAAGGGGCAGTCCACAGATTTGTTCATTTCTGCATAATTAAATTTTTAACATGTAAACAAGTAATTCAGTGTGGTTTGATGTGAAATGTGCTAAAGAAATGTATAGAATCAAACAGGTTTACAGTGGTGATGATAAGGAACCAGACATTTGTTTAATGCCTCTAAAACTCACAGAAAGTTCATTGTTTATGAAGGCATTGCCTGATGCCAGACATTGTTTTTATGATAGTTTTCAGATAAGGTTTTGGCCTGAAATGTAGTTTTTAAATAAATTCATGGTCCAGAGTTACATGTAGGGCAAAACAGCACAATGAACATTTTTAGACATTTACTATTCTACCATTATCAACATTACATATAAAACTCAAAGGATATAGGCTCACTGGTCATTTTGGATGGCGAATACTATGGTTAGATTTGTGTTGTACACATTAAGACCCTTGGTTTCTACTGTAAAGACAATCTGTGTCAGTATGTTTTCCCACAATGTATCATTTCACATTGAAATAAACAGAATAACTTTACATCTCGACAACTGAGTTATGCTAAAAAATTTTTTAGACATGAGTGGAATTCCCCTTTAAAAGGTCTGACCAGCCCAGGGGAGTAAATGGAGAGTTAGATGAATGGGTAATTTGAAGCTGAATTAAGATTTCAGACTCCAGATGATGACAAATAAGTCAAAACAAAAACATAATGACTATCTATTAATCATTATTAACAGGCTCCTTCAGTCTGTACCTTCTGGACATTGGCCTGTCATGTAGAATCGATCATGTTTAAGTTTGAAAAAAGTGCACTGAAAACGTCTCTTCTGATACACATCACGAATGTGATTGAGGAGGCTTTACCTGAGTGGGTGTTCTTGAACACAGCAGTTTCACATTGAGACAAAACAGCTCATTGTGTGCAGAGATTACATAATGCTCCCACCACAGCAGGCACTGCTTACTGGCTTATCATAAAGCAGAAAGATGCTGACTCAGAGAGAGAGAGAGCGGGAGAGATGCTGCTTTGTGTATAAAACACATTTGCTCCAAAGTCTGGTCGCTGCAAGGCAGGGCAGCCCACGTCCAACCCCAAGAACTCCTTTTTTTCATTAGCGATGGGAACCACGTACTGAGCGTCACTTCGGGGAAATGAGGTTGATGCTGATGCTGAGGCTTGTTAGAAGAGAAGCAAAGTGTGTGGCTTTTGTTACACACACAGAAAGGGTTTTCTATACCGGTAAGGGGAAACATGAAGCCCATCTTCTGTGAAACACATCATCGGTCAGAGAAGGATCTTCATGAATGACGTTGCGTCATCGTCTCACTCGTCTGATCTCATTCCGCTATCATGTACAGAATTTTTAAAATGGGAATAGTGTTGTTAAACTTCATTGTGAAACATTCACCTGCAACCACAGTCGAATTTTACGAAATGGGGATGATGGGTGCACGTGGGGGTACTCTGAATATCGCCCAGGCAACCTCATATGTAAATCACAAATTTGGATGGATCAAAAGATGTCTAATAAACATCTTAAGTGATACCGAATAACAACATTAATCCAAAGGGGATGTAAAGATGGATAATTTTTGTCACCCCCCACCACCCTAAATCGAGCCTTGCCTACAACTAATGACATTTTATGATAATTTCTTATAAATCAAATTCCACATGGTTAATAACAATGTCAATGTTGATTCAAAAAGGTTGTGGGGCAATGCTGCTATAACAATAGCATTCAATTTATGAATGGAAATGTGAAAGTGAACGGATTGTATATTCTTCATATTGTATATATTTTTAAACGCTGAAAATATGTTTTTTATAGAAATTACTAATTTTCACAAAAAGCTAAATTAAATATCAGAGTACAGGTCTGGAATGCTATATTTTATGAAAATACAGTAGACTATACCTTTTAAATTGGTCCCTCTTCAAGGGTTCTTTCGTAAAGTCAATGATTAGAACACTGACAACTCAAATAACCATTTGATTGCATAAATGATTTGTTGCATGGGTAATAGCTTAATAATTCTATGATGGGAAACTGAAAACGTGTTGTATTTGTTTCTTTAAAGAACCTTTCAAAAAAGGGTTCTGTAGCACCAAATAGGGTTCACCTATTGTTAAAAGCCATAGATCCCCTTGTAATATATACATATATACACAACTACTTAAAAAAAACCTACTTTGCTATGATGTAGTAGCTCATTACAGTTCACTGGCAAAGAATTTAATTTAAGAGCATGTTCTGCTGCCATGACCAGAACAGTAAAATACAGTATAAGTATCATCAGCCATGAGAAAATCGTCCATTTTGGTGACTTTTCATATTTGAGACAGAGCGCACTTCACATCAAATCTGCAGTCATTTGTCATTTTCTTCTTTTTCTTAGGGTAAAAGGACGCCAGAGATCTTTTGAGTGGGTGCTGCAGGTTCATTCGTTGCAGCTACATATGATCTGAATGAGGCCAATCATGTCAATATAGACGATCCGTGTTTTTTGGCATAGCTCAGCGTTGTGGTCGAGCTGCTAACAGAAACTAGACCTAGATGTAGTTATCCAACTAGGCCAAACGTCTCATTTTCATATCAACAAGGCTGTCTGAAGTGTTTCCATCCATGGAAAACCCTGCTGATAAGCGCGTGAGAAGGATACCTGCTCATAGGAAACTATTCTTCGAGTACAAGAGTGAGGGGCTTACCAGAACAGACGGAAAATGAACAAGTGGTAATGACTGAATTATTTTCGGAGGTGGGGGCGTCCAAAGGTTAGAGGGTTTGGGTTGTATGGGGCAAAGGAGGGCAAAACTTCTGAATGCTTCAAAATCATCCACTTCCAGATCTGCTCACTGAAAATGACTAAGACAGAGACAAACCGACAGACTGACAGATGGGCAAACGGACACAGACACCGCTCTGACGAAATTGAGGTGCTTGTTCCCGTAAACTCGGGCTGAGTGAGTGTGTGAGTGTCGGGTATGTTGCAGCAGTGGTACAGGTTAAAGTGATGCCGCTCTCGTCTCTCTAGTTCAAACCACACCACTAACCTCCACCCCCACACCCTCTCAGTTCTCATGTAGACCCCTGAGACTGCAAGTTGCAAGACTGAAAGCATATGCACACGCTCAGTGCTTTTCATGTGGCAGCTTCTATTCCTCGGTGGTTGTTCGATAGGGTTACTGAAACTTTTATCTGCTGCATCATTGTTTACACACAAAATCAACCTCCATGTTTTAAAGTGATGATAGCACACATGCTATTTGTTCCACTTAGTATTTAGTTTTAGGATTGACAGTTTGCAGCCTTTGTGTAGCGAACTGAATAGCCTCAGCCTCGTTACTCTAAAACTCATTTAGTCATTCTAAACATTTTAATACGTTTCGTAAGTCATCCTCGTTCTGTCTCAGAGCATTCCCCACATCAAATCTGCCGATCTGTCAATTTTTTCGTTTTTTCCGCTAAAAGGATGATGGTGGTCTTTTGAGTGTGCACTGCGGGTCTTCTAAAGAACTCTTTGTAGGTCATTATGAAACACAATCTCATAAGCCTGTAGTACATCGGAGACCCTAAAGCAGAGCACAAACACAAAAATGCAGATTTTGCAGTACTGGTACTTCAGCAAGAATGAATGAACTACTACACTTAAGCACTGCTGAATGTATAGATTAGAAGACACAAACTGATCAAATGGATGATGGATGAAGAGGAAAATCACCCCAAAATGATAATAAGCTACCAAACACACAATAAATATGCTTTTACATAACTGATTGCAGTGCATGTAAATGATGACTATGAGAGGTTTTCCTGTCCATGACGTCACCACCTTCAGAATATATCACGCGATCTGCATGCTAAATGCAGGACAGGAGTTCTTCAGAGAGACAGAGAGAGAAAGAAAGAGAGAGACACTCAGAGAGAAGTAGAAGAACGTGGGAGGACCACAGAAGAAGTGTCTACCACATAAAAAGTGCTGGTGACTTCTCAGATACACAGTCAACATTGGACAGACTGAGAGCTGTGAACATGAATAATAACCTTAGCTACCAGTATCCTCCAGTGTTCACAGTGAATGCTGCAAGACCTATTCATCAGCAGCATGATCATCCTCAACTGGCCACTGACAGGATGGAGCCAACGCTGGTTCCCTGCTGGACCTTTCCTCCTGCCCGTTTTCAGTCCAAGAAAAGGGGCTGTGGAGGACTGAGTTCTGCTGCAGGAACTCTTCTGGTTATGGTCCTGGTGATGGTGTTTGCTGCACTGGGACTTGGAGCCTACCAAATCTGGGGCCTGCAGACAAAGTTGGCAAAGTTGGAACAGGTGAGAGACCTCACTCTTAGAAAGAAACGGGTTCTTTATAGTACCAACAAAACATTCTATGTGGTGTGTAAATAGAACGATCTTATAGAATATATATATATATAACGTGCTCTCCACAATGAACCTTTCAATCATGGAAAGAACCATCCAATCATTTAAACGGTTCTTTGAGTTGTCATGGTTCTGTATACAACCAGCTTTACTAGAGCCCTTGAGGAACCCTTCTTTTTGAGGGTATAGCCAGAGGTGTTTTTGAAGATTATATCATAATATGTAAGTGTCTCTTTGTTTCTTTCACAAAGAATAACCTTTTATGTTTTTGAAATCACTAGTAAAATAGGTAAATCTCAAAGCCAGTTAACACTAAAAATCATTCAGTAACTACTATGAAACTAATATGTAAGTGTGGGTCTATGTATAAGCCATTTAAGTTTAAGGCATTAAGTTAAACCTATAATTACCAGCAGCAATTCCTAAATTCTGGAAATCTTTCCAAGGTTCTGAGGTTCTGATTAAAGCCAAAATCTTTCCAATAGATGCTTTATTTTAAGAGGTTTTCATCTAATGCATTGTGCACTTAGCCTTTGCATTTTGACATTTACTTCAACATGCTTAGACCGGAATAACCTAAAAAAAGATAAAAGAAAAAAAAGGTTGTGGTCACCAGTCCAGCAGTACAGGATATCCTCTACTCAAACCAGAGCGCAATCAGGCATAAGACTCAACTTCTTAAGAAGAGAAAAGAAGTGAGCATAAATGTTCTCTTTAGACACTGTTCTATTCACTTTCACATACATGTAAAGAACCTCCTGGGAATGTTTCCGGGAGTCAGCTGAAAAATGGTATGTGTATACATGCGTATGATATCACACTGCAACTATATGAAATTTCTTTCTGCTTCTTTCATGGCAGGAAATGCACACACAAACTGAAAGCAATGCACCCGAGAGGCTAGTTGGTGAGTTATTCATCTTGTTTTAACTTCTCCTCTGTGGTTAGATTGTGCTTATCTCACTTCATCGGTGTCTGCTCCTAATCAAACAAGCATACAGAGATAAATATGGCAACCTGCAACTGCCTCTCTTGACTTTTTCAGGGCACCCAACAGAAAACTTTGATGAGACCAAGCATCCTCAAGCTGCACATCTGATTGGTAAAAGAAAATCTTCCTTTTTTCAAAGAGTTGTATAGTATGCATCTCCTCCAACACAGCACAATTACACCGTGTCCAATGAGTGACTGCAGATTGGAAAGCTAGAATGAGGAGCAGTATTAGACTTAGTTTCTTAATCAGAGACTTAAAAACTTGATTAGAGACAGAATCCACACACATACATAAAGAGCTTTAATATTTCTCCCTCTGTAAGAATAATGGACCATTTCTGGAGTTATAACACGCAAACCGTACCCACCTCTCAACTGAGTTAACCTCTTCAACCTTAGGCATATTATTCAGTAACTACTATTATTCAGTAGCTACTATCTACTATGAAACTAACACTCAAGTTATGTAGTTAAGAGAGTGAGGACTGCCCACCAATATCATCACTTTCCTCTTATCCATTCAGGAAAATCCCAGGATGGAGTATCGAAGACCTTAAAGTGGGAGTCCAGGTATAGCCGTGCCTTCACAGATGGCATCCTGTACCGTGATGGTGGCCTACAGGTGAACGAGACAGGCCTCTACTTCGTCTACTCGCGTGTGGAGTTCCTCTCGAACAACTGCCAACGAAGGGACTCTCTCACTCACACGGTGTACATAAAGAGAGATGGTCGGGCACAAACCCTCATGACCGATCGCAGGGAAGGCTTCTGCAGGGTTGGGAGCACAGAGGTATGGACAGATGGCAGTAATCTTGGCTCCGTTCAACAGCTCAAGCAGGCCGACTGGGTGTTCGTTAACGTGTCCCAGCCTGCACTGCTCAGCAAAAGCCACCACAGTAATTACTTCGGCCTCTTCAGACTCTTCTGAACATGGACTCATGAACAGATTTGGAAGACCAAATAGAGATCCGAGAATATTGTGTGTGCAAGGCCTTAGTGAACAGATACGGGTAGTATTTTTTCAATCTTCTTTCAGAACTACTCATAACCCACCACTCTCTTAAAGACAATGGTGCCAAAAAGGTCCTTAAGCGTGATGCCATAGAGCAGTAGAGTAGTCTTAGTGGACCTGTGTCTAGTTTAGTTCAGTGATTTTCCAGCTCTGGCACACATGATTCTGGACATCTTATAGCAGTAATGTCACCAAACTGTGCTGGACTCCGGAATGCCAGGAATTCCAGGAATGATGACCCACACCACCGCATTCCTGCAACCAGCTTCATCTTTGCATTTTATTCCATTACATCACTAAAAATCTTAATGTAAAATGGTAACACACATCATTCCCATCAGCTTAGCTCAGTGAATATCCTCTGAATGTATTTCAAATCTTCAGTATTTCAAACATCTTTTATAAAACAATAGCCCTCTGAATGTTCAGTGAACACTAATATGCTCCAAAGAGGAGGTGCAGTTGCTGTATTTATTTTCATTACTGACATATCCTTTGTGTACGTGTATATATAACTGGTCTGAACATTTATCAATATAAATATTGGTCATATTGACCAATAAGAGAAATCTTATATATTTTCCCTCTCAAATAAATTATTGTTAAAAAAAAAGTCTCTGTTTGAATCAATACTGAAACTGTATGTAGGAGATACTATTTCAGTGTCCATCACAAAACAGCTAATGTATGTCATACTTAAGTACATAGTTTGCTGGCACAAACACACAGAAGCTGATGTTGGCAGGTGAGAGTAGGTTGGTGGAGAGTGACAGAGGAAAATATGCTAACCATATCAATTTACATTTTTCCAGGCCTAACCATATAAGCAATGTCTTGCTGCATGACTCATAACCTACTTCAGCCACTTCAGTCTACATCGAATGGTAGAAAGGCTTTTATTAACTCTTCACTCAGGGAATGAATGAATGTCTTTAGGTTCTATGTGAAATACTGAACAGCTGTGGTTTTAAATAGTCTAGCTGGGCCACAAGACGACTTTGCAAAGCTGCAGTTTCATTCCTCATCATTTCTGCAAAGACCCTCATCCTGGCTTCCTCACAAGCCCGCAGATACACACATTCTGTCGCATTTCTGTGATGGGGTTAAGTGCAGCTGACTCAGAACACTGTGTGCTTTTTTTCTCAGTTTCCTTCCTGGGTATCGGGGCTCAGACGTTACACTAATGTGAAAATTTAGGCTGTTATCTGTGAAGTGTGATATTAGTTACTCTTCTGTCTTGCTGGTTTCCCAAATGATACTGATGATCCCTTAAATAACCTTCAAAGGGCTGAGGCCACAGATTGAGGGAAGAGGGTGTTGCCTTACACATTCACACAAGGTGGGATGCCAGGTGAAATCAGGTATTTGATGAATCTGGGAGATAAATCTCTTAAAAAGATATGCCCCAAAACTTTCTATATAATGTTAGAGTTAAAAGAACATGCAAAATGTGCACTGATAATACACCAGTTGTTATATAATCTGAGTAAGCAGAGAGGCAGCTTATATTAGTTCTTAGAACAGCAGCAAGGCACATTTAAGTTTTGATTATCAGTAGCTAATCTCTGTTGGTGGCTGCAACAGAGATTATCTACACTTCTTAGAAATAAACATCCGGAAAGTATAGTCATGCAGACTTTCTGGTTGTTGCCTGTTTCTTTTAGAGTGTCTGAAATGTCTACTGTTTTTCACACCTGCATTCGAGTGTGTAGGACTCGAGGTACCCCTCATCTTCCACTATTCAGTGAGAAGATCAGTGGAAAAACAGTCCACACACACACTCACACACAACCCCACAGGAAGTGACCATTGGAGATCCTCAGCCTACTACAGACTTAAAAGTCACTATTTATTTATAGCACGATGTTTTTTATGTACTTTCTCTTCTCAATGTGGCATGAACAAGATATGTTCTATCAATATGAGGCCAGGTCTTTTCCACAACTTATCACATAAACATTAAGGAAGTGAAATATCTATGCAACATAACCAAACATACTCCATCAACAACCTTGATTTCAAACCAACATTTATAGATCAAGATCACCAATACAAAAAGAAATAACTTTTATTTAAGACAAAGTGTGTCAAATGTAGGTTTGCCATTGTTGCAGGGTTTCGGTCATCTGTCCAGGAAATGGGATTCATTCCACTCCTGGGCACAAAATGTTCAGTAAAACAAGCATTTTCATTTTTTAGTATTTCTTACTAAGTTTAAACTGCTTCTTTTTAGAGATGTACTGATAACACTTTTTCCGTTTCGATACTGAGTATTCAAACCGAGCACTGATACAGATACTAACTCTATCTTTCCTACTAGCTGAGTCCTGATATTTTTAGAAATCTACTTTTTATTTTGGCAAAGCTGTCCTATGTCACAAATAAAACATACTAAGTTAGAATGATTACCACTTAAAATATACAGATAAACATGTACTGTGTACACATAAGCATGCAGCAGCCTCTCAGCAAAAACGTTGGTAAAATCTGTTTTACATTTAAATTTCTCAAGTCTTGTCTCATTTATGCGTCCCTTACACTCATGCTTACATGGATGTGTGTCAGATTCTGCTGTCAGAAGCAGCGTTTTCAGCAAACTTATCAGCTTGATTGAAGCAACAGGCTGCAAGACCATGGTGCTCTTTGATAGAGCTGACCTCGATAACAACCTGGACTGACATTAAATCAGACTATAATGGACTACACAGTGAGAGCATGTAAACCCTAGCCTGTTTTACACTATTTGTAAATTGTTAACTGGCTTTCTTATGGCATACCGCTAAAACAAATACCTTAGAAAGAATGGGTAAATCACCCATTTCCATTGTTTTCCCACAAAATACTGGCATCACAAATTTTGCCATGAGCATTTTTACTGCTGACTGTCAACCCAAACTGCTGATATGAAGTTCCATGTACTGGTGTGCATACACACCTCACTCAGCAGTTTGCTTTGTGGTATCTGTAGGTATCGGTATCTCCACCGCTGATATCGATACTACACTTAAAGTCTGTGTAAAGCAGTAACAAATGTGTCACACCACAGAAAAAATGGTATTAAGCACTCAGCCACATTGGAATGGTTGAAATATAAATATATAAAAGTATATAAAATTATATTTCAAAATTGTGAAAAAAATAAGCAGTATTCTGTGCTCTGAAACTCTGTGGGCACGTCCACTGAAGTTGCTGAAACCGCGCCCAATAGCGGGAAAAGTACAGCCTTTCTCAAGACACAAATACCACTACAATGTGAAAAATACATGCTCTGTCTAGCAGCTTTATTGTACCTTACAGCCATAAGTGCCACCACAGCCAGAATCCAATTCGGAGCCGAAGGACACCTACCAAGAATCACCCTCGTTCCTTTAGTCATTCTGCATCAGGATAGTATTTTTTTCTCTTATTTATGCAAGGCATAGCTACTCTAAGCTAACAGAGAAGTAGTAACCCGCAGCCTGTTAGCCCTGTTTCGTTAGCAGCCATTCCTAACGTCGCCCAGAGACACAACTCGCTTATCTCACAAGGTCTTCGATTTAGGAAGGCTTCACAGAAGCCTAGGCTACAGACACAGGCACTGTGTGAGGAGGGCCAGCGAGCCATACTGAGAGCCGGGGCTCGCAGTGTGAAATGTAGCCGCTGGTCACTGAACTAGCTCAGAAGGCCTGAAGGGACTAGAGTAGGCTTGCTGGCTGATAACGCTTTAAGCTTAGCTCAAGTTAGCAGGGCTAGCAGTGTAGAAGAAAATCGGCGAGCCATAATGGGCTGAGGCTTGCAGTGTAGCTGCAAAACTCAGTGGAAGGTTCTCCGCTGTTCAGTGAAATGTAGCTGTTGGGTACTGACCTAGCTTGAACGCATTACGAAGGGTCTGGAGTAGGGCAGTCTGGCCGGCGTAGCCGATAGCGCCTTAGCTTAGCTGAGTTAGCAAAGCTAGCACAGTAGCAGAGGATCAGCGAGCCATTAACGGGGACCGTCTCTATGGAAGGTCCTCCGTTTCCTATTACGAAAAACAATGTAACGGTCTCTAACAGTAACTCCACAATTCAGTACTACAAAGTTCAGTCTTTTCATATGTTTTCTGCAATCATTTTCTAACACAATAATTTGGTCAAATCTTTTGTATACAAAGAATGTGTTGATCAGTTCAGATTTCCCTCAAAGTAGCGACAACTGTTTCTGAAAGGTGCACTGTTGGGGACATATTAAGGCACAAGGCAGCACTGCAACACGATAACTGACGAATAGATTCTGTAACTGAACTAACGTCTATCTTCCTTGGAGTGCATTGTGAGCATCGCCACTCATCCATTGCATTTAATAAAAAATCAATTCAGTGATCAAGTGTCAAGGAATTTTACGATGCTGAGGTGGAAACCCTACTTACGCGGTGGGAAATCACAAGTCAACGTCTGGTTTCATAAGTATCATTATGATTTAAGTAAGATGAGCAGTAATAAATCTATAAACCTCTGTTACCTTATGATGCCAAGCGGCCTACTAAGCACCAAAGTGTGAGACTGCCAAGTCACAGATTAAAGCACATTTGCTGACACAAAAGACACATCTCTGACTCAGCAATAGTACTGGTAAGGGACCTCCCCCCTCTTCAATTCAGCCAGGTAGCTTGCAGCCCACCCAGCACAATGGAAACTGTCATGGAAATAATGTCTCTTAAGTTAAAAGTCAATGTATTAAGTGATGGTCGCGATGTGGCGATAAGATTCTAAGGAAGATGTGTTGATAAAGCCGATCGGAAGCTGATGCAGTAAAAGCAGAGCATGCTTTCCAAACTTGCAGACCACTTGCACAAACAGGCAACTGCCTCTTTCTTATGAAAGTATACATGAACAGTGTTTCTCAGTGAAATGTAGCCGCTGGGTACACACCTAGCTCGAGCGCAGTGTAAAAGGGTTCGAGTAAGTCAAGCTGGTCAGCATAGCTGATCGCATCTTAGCTTAGCAGAGTTAGTGGGGCTAGAACTGCGAAGGAGGAACAGCGCACTGTTCTGCAAATTCCAGCATCCAGGGAAGATGCATTTACAGGATGAAGACACAGCTAGCTAGCAAACTGTAGGCTGTAAATAGTGTAGTAACTACCGGGGCTCGCAGTGTGAAATGTAGCCGCTGGTCACTGAACTAGCTCAGAAGGCCTGAAGGGACTAGAGTAGGCTTGCTGACTGATAACGCTTTAAGCTTAGCTCAAGTTAGCAGGGCTAGCAGTGTCGAAGAAAATCGGCGAGCCATAACGTGCTCAGTGGAAGGTTCTCCATTGCTCGGTGAAATGTAGCTGTTGGGCACTGACCTAGCTTGAACGCAGTACGAAGGGGCTCGAGTAGGGCAGATTGGCCGGCGTAGCCGATAGCGCCTTTTGTATACAAAGAATGTGTTGATCAGTTCAGATTTCCCTCAAAGTAGTGATAACTGTTTCTGAAAGGTGCACTGTTGGTGACATATTAAGGCACAAGGCAGCACTGCAACACGATAACTGACGAATAGATTCTGTAACTGAACTAACGTCTATCTTCCTTGGAGTGCATTGTGAGCATCGCCACTAATCCATTGCATTTAATAAAAAA